TACACGAGACCCACCCTTCCCCCTTTAGCCCTTTAGACTTTCAACTGATTACATGAGACCCACCCTTCCCCTTTAGACCTTTGATTAGATGAGGCCCACCCTTCTTTCTTTAGACCTTTGACTGATTAGACCATGCCCCCCCTTCCCCTTTAGGCCTTCAACTGATTAGATGAGGCCCACCCTTCCCCTTTAAACCTTCAACTGATTAGCTGAGGCCCACCCTCCCCCTTTAGACCTTTGATTGGATGAGGCCCACCCTTCTCTCTTTAGACCTTTGACTGATTAGACCATGCCCCTCCCTTCCCCTTTAGGCCTTCAACTGATTAGATGAGGCCCACCCTTCCCTTTTTAGACCTTCAACTGATTAGATGAGTCCCGCCCTTCCCCCTTTAGCCCTTTAGAACTTCAACTGATTAGATGAGGCCCACCCTTCCCCCTTTAGCCCTTTAGAACTTCAACTGATTACATGAGACCCACCCTTCCCTTTTAGACTTTCAACTGATTACATGAGACCCACCCTTCCCCTTTAGACCTTTGATTAGATGAGGCCCACCCTTCTCTCTTTAGACCTTTGACTGATTAGACCATGCCCCCTCTTCGCCTTTAGGCCTTCAGCTGATTAGATGAGGCCCACCTGTCCCCCTTTAGACCTTGAACTGATTACATGAGACCCACCCTTCCCCCTTTTAGCCCTTCAACTGATTAGATGAGGCCCACCCTTCCCCCTTTAAACCTTCAACTGATTAGATGAGGCCCACCCTTCCCCCTTTAGACCTTCAGCTGATTACACGAGACCCACCCTTCCCCCTTTAGACCTTCAACTGATTAGATGAGGCCCACCCTTCCCCTTTAGACCTTTGATTAGATGAGGCCCACCCTTCTCTCTATAGACCTTTGACTTATTAGACCATGCCCACCCTTCCCCTTTAGGCCTTCAACTGATTAGATGAGACCCGCCCTTCCCTTTTTAGACCTTCAACTGATTAGATGAGGCCCGCCCTTCCCTTTTTAGACCTTCAACTGTTAGATGAGGCCCACCTGTCCTTTAGACCTTCAATTGATTAGATGAGGCCCACCCTTCCCCTTTAGACCCTCGACTGATTAGATGAGGCCTACCCTTCTCGTTTAGACCTTCAGCTTATTAATTAGATGAGGCCCGCCCTTCCCCTTTAGACTTTCGACTTATTAGATGAGGCCCAACCTTCCCCCTTTAAACCTTCAACTGATTAGATGAGGCCCACCCTTCCCCCTTTAGACCTTCAACTGATTAAATGAGGCCCACCCCTCCCGTTTAGACCTTCAACTTATTGATTGAGGCCCACCCTGCCCCTTTAGACCTTCAACTGATTAGACCATGCCCATCCTTCCCCCTTTAGACCTTTCACTGATTAGATGAGGCCCACCCTTCTCCTTTAGACCTTCAGCTTATTAATTAGATAAGGCCCACCCTTCCCCCTTTAGACCTTCGACTGATTAGATGAGGCCCACCCACATTCTCTAGTCCAATCTTTTTTTCTGGGAATCAGCTGACTGAACTTCACATCTACAAAGCACCTTCGTTGAAGCCCCTGAGTCAGGGTTTGATTCAATAACTGGGGATTGTAGCCTAGTCCCCGAGTCACAGGAACATGTCACTGGTGCCAGGTATCCAAGACAGAGACCAAGAGATGAAAGAGAAACAGAGAGACTGAGCCCAACAGAGGCAGACACACAGGAAGATGGAAATAGAGAGAGACTCAGAGATGGGGGTGGAAGATGGTGAGAGGGGAAGAAAAGAGAGACAGAGAGGGAGACAGAGAAAAGAGGCAAAGAGACAGACTCAACAGCAAGACTCCAGGGAGGGTGACTAAGGGTTAGGGACCTGTGTGACCCACATCCCAAAAGCCCAGGGGCGTCCCTCTCCCAGCCACCTCTCTCCACCTCAGGGGCTGTGTCTTCCTCCCATGGGGAACTCCAGATCAAGCCCAGGGCTGCCCCCAGCGCCCTCTTTCCTGCCATATGGGTAACACCCTTCCAGTTGCCACTTGCACATCCCCGTCCTAGACCCAGCCATCTGCCATTCCGTTACCTTCCACCCCCACGCCAGCCTCCTCCCCAGCCCCCGCTTTCCACTGACCCCCAGGGGTCCCCCACATCGAGGTGCCAGGATAACAGCTTCAGGCTTCAACCTTCCCTTCTCTGAGCTCCACCGGCCCCAGGGCCTTAGCACCTGCTGCACCCTGCCCAGGTCTCACGCTCACAAGCTCTTCCAAAGGCTACCCTGTTCATTGTCGACTATGAGGCTGCATGAGTGGGTCTGTCTCAGATCTTTACCCCAGGAAAAAACCCTTGCTGGGCACAGTGGCTCACGCCTGTCATCCCAGCACTTTGGGAGGCCGAGGCGAGTGGATCACCTCGAGGTCAGGAGTTCGAGACCAGCCTGGCCAACATGATGAAAGCCCATCTGTACTAAAAATACAAAAATTAGCCGGGCGTGGCGGTGCACGTCTATAATCCTCAGGAGGCTGAGGCAGGAGAATAGCTTGAACTCGGGAGGCGGAGGTTGCAGTGAGCTGAGGTCGCGCCGCTGCACTCCAGCCTGGGCGTCAGAGCGAGACTCCGTCTCGAGGGGGGAAGATAAAAGTAAACACCGCCTTCCGAGTCCCAGGCTCAGCTGTGAAGATCTGACAGCCTGAATCCTCCTTGTTTTTCTCAGATTATCTGGGAGGAATTCACCCCAGAGGAAGGTAAAGGTTACCGTGAAGAGGTGTTGACCGTGAAGGAAATTACCTGAGGCCTGCAGGGTGTAGGAATGGCGTGGACATCTCCGCCTCCGAGACACTGGGGAACTGTTTTCTTGTTGATGGTGCTGTGAGGTTTTATACCATTTTCTACGTTTTTATTTAAAAACATGATATTTGGGTCCAGGCACGGTAGCTCGCACCTGTCATCCCGGCACTTTGGGAGGCCGAGGCGGGTGGATCACCTGAGGCCAGGAGTTCCAGACCAGCCTGGCCAACATGCTGAAACCCCATCTCAACTAAAAATGCAGAAATTTACCCAGCCGTGGTGGCGGACACCTGTCATCCCACCGACGTGGGAGGCTGAGGCAGGAGAATCCCTTAAACCCGGGAGGCGGAGGTTGCAGTGAGCCGAGAACACGCCATTGCACACCAACCTGGGTGACAGAGCAAGATTGCATCTCAAAATAATAATAATAATAATAAATAAAAACGTGATCTTTGGCTGGGCGCCGTGGCTCATGCCTGTATTTCTAACACTTTGGGAGGCCAAAGTAGGAGGATTGCTTGAGACAGGAGTTTAAGACCTGGGCAACAGAGCGAGACCCCATCTCTACAAAAAAAAATGCAAAAGTTAGCTGGGCATGGTGGCTTGTGCCTGTAGTCCCAGCTGTCTGGGAGGCTGAGGTGGGGGGATCACTAGAGTTCAAGGTAACAGTAACCTGTGATTGCACCACTGCACTCCAGCCTGGTGACAAAGTAAGACCCCATCTCTCTTTCTCAAAAAAAGTGATATTTAGCAAAGATGCTTAGACTCTAAGAAGCTTGTGCATCTCCTTCCAACCCAACCCCTGAGGCACTGTCTAGCCTCCTCCTTAAATCACTGACCCGGAGAGCTGAGATTGCACCATTGCACTCCAGCCTGGGCCACAAGAGCAAAACTCCATCTCATTTAAAAAAAAAAAAAAAAAAAAATTCATGGTTGGGCGCAGCAGCTCACATCTGAAATCTCAGCACTTTGGGAGGC